ATAGTTCAAGTGTCCGGATTGACCATACTTGCACTTCGTCTCCCCCTTCACCTCAGTTCTTCCAAACGTTTCTACATTGTCTCATGTGCTACAGAAACCAGTGGCATAAGAGAAGTCTCCAGCTACGGCTTTCCATTATAAAGTAAACACAGGGTCCTATTTCTTCTCCACACTCATGTGTGCTGTGCTGGTTGGTTTAAATCACTCTCGAATTTTACTGCTTTATAATAGCAAGAAGGAAAAACTGCTAAAATCAGGCATTAAATCGAGGTGATTTAAACCAAGACAAGCATCAATGCAACTTTAACACTCAAAATGTCGCTGTTACTTAGCCGTTATTAGTGTCAAAAATAGTAAACAAAGATACGGACAAACATCCCAAGTTAGGCACTTCACAAGTTGAGGTGTTGTGTGCCAAACTATAGCATCTTTCCCACATCTCTACCCCAGCCAACGCACTTTCTACCATCTGCCAGAAGTACCTTCCAACCTCCTCAACTCTTGAGATTGCATCGACCTAAATGAACCTGCCATCCATATTGCAACTACTTAGGCACTTCCTGGTTTGCATTTTTATATCGTTTGAGAAGAGGAATCGTACAGCGGTGTTAAAGTTCTGAGTTGGTAACAACTTTTATTCCTTTTGGGTTCAAATGGAGCAGAAAAAATGCAACTTGTTATTAGAATATAAAAAAGGAGCGGTTGTTGTGCGGTAATAGAACGCTGCAAAGGGAATTGCAAAATGGACCCCCAAACGTGCCGATAATGGATGCAGTTTTCATAGCACAGTGATGTTGGTCAGAATCTCCCACTCACTGGAAAAAGAGGCCTCAATTTGTCAACAAATCGACATGACTTTACATTCCACTGAAATGGGATAGAACAGGAAAAAAAAGGGAAATTTTCTCTCTAAAAGGCAATAAAGGGAGCCTTTATATGCAATGTTTGTTCAAAGTTAAAAAGAACATGACCCACTTATCTTTCGTAGAGGTAACAAATGCTCTCGGTATGTTTTGTTGTGAAGGCCTCTGTTTGCTAGCAAATGCATGAGATTTACTAGTTTTAATTTACCAGAAACGATTATTAATTCTGCAAAATTCAATTGTGTACTGCCACCAGATCTGCGTTTATCCAAAAATACCATAATTTTAGTGTGCTTTATGTCGGCATCTATCACAACGAAACTTACCTACAACTTTCAAGTGGGGGAAGTGGATTGGCTATTTTTCCATGCGACTTTGAATAGATCATGATCATTAACTGTGGCACGATACTGATGCAAGGACTTTGATGTTCCTGTTGTTAGTTACGTAATGCATGCACAAATCACAACTGGAGCTGAGGATTGAAAAATGAAGTAGAGTGCTATTTTTTTTCATAGAGGGTTAAAAAAGAGGTCTTTCTAACCATTGCGCCTTTGAGTAAACACGAGCTATTAAGAAACACAACAACAAACACTAAGTTTTGCATGGACGCGCTATTGTAGCCAGAACCTGTACATTTCTGGTATGGTCTTTGACTACGAATTTAGCCCTATGATGGAGTCGCAATATGGTAATGCTTTCCCCCATTTTTAACACTCCGACCACACTTTCCAGTTATTATATCACGGTTTTTGGTGGTCACCAATTGCACCATATTCCACTACACCAGCGAAGGGCACAGCCCATCTCAAAAGCACAAGATTTTTGGGCTTGATTGCCCAGTTAAATGTAATGATGACAATTACGTATTTTGTATTTTTGTAGTAATGTTTAGCGTTTCTAGAAAAGGACGATAAATTTGGGATTGCAGCAAGTTTCCTTGACGTTCTTTACTCTCCTACGTTTTATATTCTCCCACCGGTGAGTAATCTCTCACTTTGTGTTACAAACCTGCAAGGAGTAGTTATTAGTGATGGGTGAAAGGAGAAGTCGAGATGCGTCTACATCCTCCATTCTCTTTGTCCAAGTGGATTCTGCTCAACAGTCTTTTGAATAAGGAGAGTTAAAAGATTAATCATGCAAAATTGTTTAAATGTTACTGTTTACACTTGAAGTAGAGGCACGCTGTTAGGTGTCAACCCTCCACCAAGTCCATCCACTACATAATTGTTCCTTGTGTTAATGACGAGAACTATTGTGTAGAGATTCTTATCTTTCACATTCATTCTGCAATGTCAAATCTATGTATCGCCTTCTCTTTTGTCCTGCTATTGAATTACACACACGACATGATTAATAGCTGAATACTGCAGGCATTCAGCACATTTTGAAGCCTACTGCTGCAGTGAAACAATGTTACGGTCTAAAGTCCAGCAGTCCTTAAATTAGCCTCAGCATATACATCACATCTATCTATTCCTGCCACGGTTTCAAGAAGTATTCTGTGTCGAATAGTGGAAACAACGCGGATCAGTCAACTCAAGCAAGTAATAGTGGGTATTTCCTACAATGTGGCGCGTGAGTTTGTTTCGTGGTTCGTGCTTCGGCCCTTGCCTCCTCCAATATACTGACTATATTAAATATCCATTTTCCCACTCACGGTTATTTTTGCTCGTTTAAGCTGAAAAGATAACCTAAATATCTGTTGACTGATTTAAATGTATCAACCGTTTTTGGAACTTATGCGACTCTCCTTTGTACGCTTGATATGATGCCGCGGAAAATCAGGTAAATATGTAGAAAGATTAGTGAAAAAGAATGCAAAACCACAGACATTTGAGGCATTCGACTCAGATTTCAGTAATGCATGTAAACATGTAGAATTGTGAAAGGATAATAGAAGATAAGAAATGTTAAAGTGGTCATGCTGTAATGAATGGTTTGTTTGAGGAGGAAGGGAGACTGCTTTATACAAAAGAAATAGACGAGAGGAAGAGGGGTCGGGGACTTCTACCTGAGATTTCCATTTGAGTCGTACACGTACCGTACTGGAGGTGGATGCGGTGGCCGTGCAGGACTTGGTGTGTGGTGAGTAGATTTTATGCAGACGTAAGAATATCTAAAATATACGACAATTGGCAGACATGGGAGTGAAATAATCAAACACTGAAACGAGTAGATTAAAAAGAAGTGCCTTTCGTACTAGTAGTGTAACATTCCAAAGAGAGCGTGGAAATAAATAAGCTGTCTTGGAGTGGAATAACACGCAACTGTGACTTCACATGACAGGACCGCACTTGCTATCATGAGGAGAAACAGGTGATACATGCGGCTCATTTTCCTCATCACTCATGCATGGATGGTTTGAGGGGGCACTTACAGGCAAGTAATGAATGCCTTAGTTGATATTTGCAAAGGCGAATTCTGAGGGGCCAATGAGAACATAAATGGCAACATGTCTTCACTGAAGGTTGGACAACAATGACGAGTTGAGAAGAGGGGGCACATATTTTACACTGAATTTAATTTATACATGCATCAACGCGAGATAATTGAGCAGTGTGATGTAGACGAATTCAAGGCGAATTGGTATAATTAGCACTTAAACTTGGATAGGAATTTCTTATAATTAGGAGGTAGTAATCCAGTGCTTCAATTTAACTGGGATATTACAAAAGAGCAGCCGCTACCTAGTCAAATAGATCTGGAAAGCGGTAAGAAACAAAGAAAGAATTAATTTGGCTTTGTGAACCGGTGACATAAAGTGATAGTGAGCGTGTGAAATCGCTAATCGTTCTTGGAATATCAGAACTGGTGAAACTAAAAGAGGGATTTGCAAACAGGCAGAGGGCCTCGACGTTAGGATGCTGCTATAGTGTTAGTTGCAGTATTGACATCAGCCTTGGGAGAAAGCAAAGGCTGAACATCTACAAAAGTGGCGGTGCGATGTTGCAACTTGATGCACGTGGATGGTGATTTGGACAATTAGAGCAACAGTAGTCTCATGTGGGTCTGCTTTCCATCCTGACCATCTCTCCAACTGACAACTGTACTCAAACAACTCCACTATTGTCGATTGTCCTCATTTCTTCATTCTACAGATTACCCATTCCAAATGACTTAAATGCAAGACCAATCTCAATTACGGAAGGCAATACTAATGGCTTTGTTGAGTGATACAGATGAATCAGTGCTTCCAAGTGCGTTCTGCGAATGTGGAGATCGGGCGCATACACGATGCATGTTATTTGACAATTGACTGATCCTTAGTAGATGGATGCATCCTTGTTCCCACCTGCCGAAGGGCGGGAGGATGCCAATCTGTTTGCGTTATGTCCATATTTCTCACTAAAAGTAAATACGCGCCTGTTTTGCAGTAGAAATGTGGATGATGCTTTCCCGTATCGGTTTGAAATAACAGTAGAGAATTTCGACAATGAGTATGATATTTTGTAATTACAGTTGTTGTACATGGATAACTCACAAGCTGAAAATGTTCTTTTTTTCTACGAAGCTTATTCCTTGCACGTGGTTGCTGGTAGATAATTATTAAAACAACTATCATTCCCGAGTGCCTAATACCCACGTGGTTGGCTCCAAAAGTGTGTCAGCATTGCTCATTTCTTGACTTACGCTTAGAATGCATCATGCTCATTGCATATTGTTACACGCCATGGGAGTCCTCAATCCTTCACTTCGTTTAATTGCACAACCAAGATTGGAAGATGGTGCCCATACTATCTACTTCCCAAGAGAATTGCAAGTCCTCATCAAGGTTGTGGTGAAACTGCTGGGTAAGTAAACAAACTATGGAAAATAGCGATTGCACGCCCATTCCCAATAAGTCGTTTAAATATCCTGCGACAGACTACTTAAAAGGAAAATAACTTATCAAGTCCATATAAGATTAGCCGCTTGAGTACTTGGCTGTTAGCCAGATTGGTCTAAAATACCCACGACCTCGTGGCAAATTTGACCCAATTTCATCTCGAGATCGCCAATTTTACCATGGTGCTTGGCTTGGATAGCAAATGACCAGGCACGATACAAATAGCATTGTATTCAAAGAATGCACAATTTGAATTGTTGGGTAAACACAAGCGTGTTAATTGTAACATTGTGGAACACACTCGTCGACCTGCGGCGTCAGTAGGGAGAAGCGCTGCCATGTCACTTTCTCAAAACATGGGGATAATTGTTTCATTGATGAAATTTTACGCATTTGTGAACAATAACAGACGAATAGTGGTGAAGAGCAATAGGAGAATGCGAACTAAAATACAAGCTACTTCGTGTTGGGAGACGAAGTTGTTCCATATCAAGCGTGTGCGAAATGAGATTGGTAAGTAATAAAGTCTTTGGTTGTTGAGGCATGCTTAGGCGAAAGCATAAACCAGAATTGTAGCAAACAAGGCCGTTCCTCCCACCCAAGTGATAGAGGAGGTGGATGTTGTACCCGATGTATTAGACGACTTCGTTGTACTGGGTTTACTCGGTGCAGTCGTTGTAGTCGTTGTTTGAGGACCTCTCTTGGAACAAAGTTTGTTTACACACGTAGTTCCATGTGGACATTGACTGCAACTAGCACCATCTTTATAAGGTTTTGTATGTGCGAAGTTACCCCTGGGACAAAAACATCAGTGTTAATTATCAGCGTACAATTCTCACGGAAAGTAGTTTTGTATAATCACACTCACGGTGGTTTATATTGGCACGCCATTAGGAATATCGGCTTTGGCCAGTCTGGTTTTATATTATCACACCGTTTAACAGCGCACCCAAGCTCTTCAGACGTTGCCCAGACCACCTATTTATCACAGAGGAAAGGCCGTTCTTATGGAGGATATGACAGAGCTATCTATTACGTAAAATACGGCTTCATAAATTACATGTAGCTCAAGTGATCACATAATAACTGAATTCTAGCAATCTCTAAAATATGAGCAGAAAAAATGCAACTGCGGGAAAATGCATAAAATATTAGGCAAAATTAAAAACTTCATTTAGAATGTTAGAGAAAAGTCATTGCTTCACCTGGGTGTAGTGTCCACAGACTTTACCAGATGCACATGTGTTGTTTGCATATGTGTAATATGCAACCTCGTTCCACCACCCAGTTGCCTGTGCGACCAAATTGCGTCTTGAACCTCCAGACAAGGCAAGATTCTGTCCGGTACCACTGTATTTCGGATGTTCCTTCCAATTTGGGTGTTCAAACTTGCACCTCGCTACCCAGTCAACTGCCAGATTTTCCAGCGCTTTGCTGTACACCTTTAGCAATATACTACAATATTAGCATCATCTTCGAAAGAGGAATCGCAGAGCTAGGTTACGCTTTCTAAAGGGGTTTTCGTATTGCTGATGCCAAAAGCAGGTCATGTTGGGGAATTCGTGGAAGATGTGGAGCTTGACTTATCGCACAAATTAAAAACTTACCATTTCTAACATATTGGCAGCGGAAGGTTTTACAGATCCCCTTTTAATGTTGTGGAAATCAAGAAGTTCTTTTTGCTCCTCACTATTCAGAGCTTCCGAGGCCACAAATGTAATCAAGACTAAGGAGTAAATAAACTTGATCATTGTGTCTAAAAGAAATAAGGAATGAGTGGTCAGTCTAATCTGCATTGAGAAAATTAGGTAAACTCACAGCTGAGTAGCAAATTATATGCAATGCACGAATGTCTATGCGCAGTTATTTTAATTGTACTTCTTACCTACTCTCTGGTGAAATCGGATCACGTGCAAATAACGTTATTGGTAGGGAGAGAATTTGTTACATTTACGAAAGATGAGCAGGTCTTATTTTTTGATTTTGAACAAACATTACATATTAAGGTAGCCTTTATTGCCTTTAAAGTGAACATTCCCCTTTTGGTTCCTGTTCTTTCTCTTCCTAGTGAAGTGTAAACTGATGCCACTTTCTCGACAAATTGAGCCGTTTTTCTTTAGTGAGTAAAAGATTCTGACCATCATTACTCTACCACGGGAACTGCTGCGTGTTTGGGTGTCGAAACTGACAACAGCAAGCCCATCAAATCGTCAACTTTTCCAGATTCAAATTGTGCTTTTGTTTCAGGGAAAGATGTATGCTCAAGAGAAGTAAACCCTAATTATGGACACATTTGTGAGTCCATTTTGCTATTTCCTTTGCAACGTTCCATCGCAGCACAACAGTTGTTCCTTTTAATATTCCGACCTTAAGTTCCTTTTTTTTCTGCTCCATTTGAATCAATAAAAGTGTTCACTAACTCGGGACTTTAACACTACGTTGTGATTTTCCTTTTAAATAGTATAAAAATGTAAATCAGGAAATACTTCACTGTTTCCAATAAAGGTGGCAGGTTCATTTCGGTATATGCCGTCTCAAGAGTTGGGGAGGTTGGGAGGTACTTCTCGCAGATGGTGGAAAGTGCGTTGCCTGAGGTAGAGATGTGGGAAAGGTGCTATAGTTTGTCACACAACACCTCAACTTGTGGAGTGCCTAACTTGTGATGTTTGTCCGTATCTTTGTTTACTATCTCCGATACTAAGAACGGCTAAATAAAGGCAAAAAATTTTGAGTTCTTATGTGCATTGATGCTTGCCGCGGCTTGGGTCGTTTCGACTTAATGCCTGCTTTTAGCAGTTTTTGCCTCATTATAGCCAACCAGCCCAGTAGACATGGGTGTAGATAAGAAAGAGGATTGTGTGTCCACTTTAAAATGGAAAGCCGTAGCTGGTGACTTCTTGAGTGCCACTGATCTAGTAGCGCATGGGACAATGTAGATGTACTTGGAAGAATTGAGGTGAAAGAGAAGAAGCAATGCAAGTGCAGTTAATCTTTGACCCTTATTTACTGCAAACCATGTCAGTATTCAATGCAAAAAAACATGAAGTGCACTTTGTCAATTAACGCTTGTGTCAATCATCAGGGTGCTGAATGGGGTCGCTGACGCCATGTGGTTATACTAATGTTGCCATATACCTATTGTATGCAATACCGAGCTTAATTCACCGATTAACTGCATGGATGAAGATAATATCAACAATATTCAAAGGGTACTGTAAAAATGATTTGTAGAAAAAGACTACTGTTGAATGTATTGCATGAGCAAGTGGAGAAGGATGTGTCGACACTCACAGCAGCCCCAACAAATAAAACTCGGTATCAATCACCTTTATTCCTCAATTGGTTCTAGCTCTCTGGAGATGTGAGAACTTGAAGATGCACAAATGCTTGTGCATATTTAGGTTTCACTATAATATGCTACAAGGCTGTAATAATTTTCTCATCGAGCCCGTCTCAATAAGATTGACAACCATGATTCCCTCTTGAATCGCCACCTTGATTCATTACTGCCACTCAGGCCAAAAAACAAATATTACCTAAGTAACATCTTTTCATGAATCCAAAAACCATTATGGAAAGACAAGCGAGTCTTAAGGCTTAGCATATTAAACAAGTGCTGAACATTTGGAAATAGAGGCAGGGATGTGCCTAATTTCAGACACCGTCCCTTTAGTTACGCTTTAGCAGTGGTGGGAAATACTTAAGTAAAGACATAATATTTGAAAGCATGACTCAAAAAAGAAGGATTTTTTCATCACAAGCGTTATTTATCTAAATGTTTGATTATTTTGCTTACCTTGTCCATTCAGACTCACACATTGATGAGTTCCACCCAGATTCTGCTTCGAATCAATTAGTATGTTTCCACGCAATTCAATTTTAAAATGAGAGGAACTTTCTCCCTGTACTAGCAGCTGCAAGATTTTGAACTACGAAGAAGTACTAAGGAAGAAGTGAAGTTACTGTCCCCCAACAACTAGATCGGTTAGTGTATGAGCTATGTGGATGACTCTTTTGGACAAACTTCTAGTAAGCACTGATATTACACTCTGTTCCAATTACTCACAAGTCTGATTTATTTCACAGACAATTGGATCATGGCAAAGATGGCATCATCACTGTACCACATACTCACTCAGTTGTTCACACACAGGAACAGAATGACATTCAGTTATCGCACGATTTCTTCCAACGACGACATTATTTGCATCATGCACTGGATATGAGTGTTTGCATTCGCCAATTCCTCCACACTTTTTGTTGGTAAACATCTGTGAATTGAGTAAACACTGAAGGAGTTTAAACGTAGTCATAGCAGTGAGTTGGGATGAGTTGGCGCGGCTTGAATTGAGTGGTAAGCCAATGTTACAACTAACTGAAAAACAAATAAAAATTGTAATTCCTACCATTTTTACAGCAATGAATTAAACATTTCTAGTTAAAAAATAACTTTATTGCCATGACCTTCCGGAAAGTGGGATTGATGTAGGATATGCAGATAGTTCTGTCTGTTTGACACACATGTTAAGCAAGTATACGTTGCCATTTATGTAGTGAAGACAAGTTTTCCATTCATTTTCAAATTTCTCCAAGTATCCCCTTACCTGTGTTCAGTGTCCGGGTTACAACAAATGCAACTAAAAATCATCACTTATCTAGGCTCATTGCGACGCAGAAATTATGGTATTCTTGGATAAAAGAACATCTTGCTATTGACTCTGACGTACAAATTTCTCTTATTTATTCGTGCAGCTGATTGGTGAGTTACGCTATTAAAAATTCCATTCGCGCAACCTGTGGTGGGCGTTTCTCTTAATATGTGAGGCACGTGAGGATGAGGAAGAGATCTCACTAAAATATGTCCCTGCATTTGAGTGCACGATATGCAATTACGGACCAGGTACTAATTAACAGGTTAATAATTTAGTTTTCCAGTGATTCATGCTTCATGTTTACGATCGTGCCTTGCCTACTCAGGGACACGAACTTTATTTTGAGTGTATAGCTTTTACACACACTTACTTTTATGGCTTTATAGTAAACAGATTACAAAACGAATTGTTTTGCGGAACTAGAGTGGATCTCCTTCACACACCTGATACGTTACCTTGGGGAATAGAGCTAAATGCCTCGAATGGTAGGTAAAACTTGAAATGTGGAAGCAAAGCGATTCAAGGCACTGTATTTGGATAGTGCTAATGCAGGTAAGTAGATAGAATGGTAAGAGAATGAGAAAAGGGAAATGCGGTGATAAAACTGTGGTCGACCACAGGATGAGAAGTAGATGCAATTGACTGAAACTTTATTAGAGACGTACCCGTATTGTGGGCTGTGTTGTGGAGGTAGTGGCGGCTATGCATTACTTGTTGATGTGTTTTTAGGTATTGTAGACAAAATTCTTTTTTAGATAGAGAATGGAAAACAAAGGCTAGAAGCTGTGAGGCATGAGTCTGAAGATTCAAACGCTGCTATCTTGAGTTCTATTGTTGAATGCTAAGCCTTAACATGAACGGAAAAATCAGTGATTTGCAGTGCGAGTGATAAGTGATTAACAAAGCATTACATTTGGTTAGCTGTTGCTCCTGCTGACAACCGGTGTATTCACCGTGATTTTGCAGTCATTTTCCAGTCGTCAGACGATAAAATAATCATCCATCAAATAATGAATTTGCCCCAATATGATTATGGAAGTAAAGACCCACGGAAGTCATCCAAAAGCATTAAAAAGGGGTTAAATTACTTCTTGTTACTTGTTATGTCATTTGCCAGCAAACAGTTTTTTGGAGCGAAAACATGAAACTTCTGAGATTTTATGCTTTATTTGGAAGTAAAGCAAAGTGTCGTAAAATTTGATAACCCATATTTTCTAAAAAATGAGCGAATTACTCAAACAATTATTGCTACAAAGTAAATAAGTGGTCATATTTTTGAGTCATTTCCACACATTTGAGGATAATTTGCTCAAGGTTTGAAAAATTGGACGATTTTATATAGCTGTGAAGTAACGTGATGGAAAAACGTCATATGCTGCGGGTAAAAGAATCTGTGACGACCCCTAACATAAGGGTTGAAAAGGAAGTTTACCTTCACCAACCATCTCAGTCCCGTCTTCTACAGGAATGCCATCAGCAACTGAAGCTACATTAACCGTAAGATATTATTTAAGGGGTTTATTACAATGCCGTTTACCTGTACCTGTATCTGTATGATGGTGTCAATGAAGCAAACACGCGATACATCCTTCATCCCCCCCACTAACTGGATAGAACTCGGATAGATATGACCGGTCAGCAATGAAGTGGGATCAAAGTGGCATGGAAGAATAGACGCAAAGTTGTGTTCTCATAAAAATATGCTAAACAGCGCTTTTAATTGAACAACTCTGCTTGAGGTCAGTGTCCTTACTACTAGTGGTGCATATAGGAGATAAGTGGAACTTGCCCTTTCACCCTCCCGCCATCAGTGCAGTTTCCAAAGAAGAGAGAAGTCCAGATCTGGTAGAAATGCCAAGAGGGATCAATGACGTTGCCGCAAAGTGTCATCTTAGTTGTACACAAATTCGATAACTGGCACAATTGAGTCTAGAGTGTTATTCTTGATGCGATAGCTGACGCAGAAGGGTATGAATGGGGAACTGCGTGGATGATGCCTAAAAGATGGTTATGTAGTGCAGTGATTGTTCGTTTAGATCTTCGTTTTGGTTTCACGGGTAGGTAAGTCTCGGCCATTTTGCTTCCACTGGACTGCATGGCCTCCAAACCATTCCTGTAGCCCCAACTCTCATCAGTTCGGTGAGTCGGACAAAGCATACTCTGTCCTAGGATTATAACCGCTTTATCTTTTGGACAAACTTCGAGTCCCACTATACTTTCACACTCCTATATTTCATGTGTAGTCTATTTGAAAATCAAACTGTCCATTACGAATGATGACCACCTTTGAGAGTACTCAAACTTCTTTAACATGAAGCTCCTTATCATCGAGTAGTCAGCGCTGCGTCTTCCTAGCACCATAAACGACTGCTACTATGTTACATCGAAAGCTTGCTTCCAAGGTGCGTTCTAAGGTCGCATATTTAAAATGTGCACACTGACCGCCCGAGTCGACAGGAGGGTGGTGAATCTCATGGTTTGGATAGATAAACGCGATGCTCAGCTGTGCGCTCAGCAGCGCGTGTCCTCTATGCATTGCAGAAGAGAATTCATAGTTGATCGGGCTGTGTTTGTTCGAAAATTCGGATACTAAATCCCATTGATGCCGGAATATATATACGGTTCCAAGCAAGTTGTCACCCAAGCCACCTCTGGATAATCCTCCCACATTATCCATGAGACCTAACTTGCGTATATTTACAGAAGGTCTTTAGTGTAAAACCCCCCTTTCTACATAGTTATCACGTGATTTACTAAATGACAGTTTATATGGACTTCCAGATAAGTCCTAACATTCAACCTTC